TTTGTATATGCCCCTGCCTTTGCAGTCATGAAATCTGGGAATCTAAATACCATTAATTGCTTGAAATGGCTAAGTTTATTAAATTCTAGAAAGATTTCATTTGTGCCTTACTGTAAAATTATCTTATTAAAAATCTTAACTGATATATTTTGAGCTTAAATTTCTTCTTTTTTCTTTGTGGTAGAAATCTGAAAAATGAAGAAAACTAGAAAGAAAACACTGTAGTATTATCACTTTGAGCTGACCCTTAACTGTATATTGTTTTCCTTTCTTTCCCTAAGAATTATTTTTTTCTCTGAAGGTGAGATAATAAGCCTTTAGAGTGAACTACTTATCTGCTTAGGCTTCAGTTTTCTTACTTATAAATGATATTTAAATGATGTATACTATCCTTCTGTTTCCTTCAGGAAATGTTTAGGATTAAAAGTATTTATAATTGTGTTGTATACATGTGTGTGTCTATCAGAATAGATGCCTAGGAAGCATATACTATATAGTAATTGCTTACCTTATATTAACTTCTTTCCAGAAATGTGTTCTCAGATTTTAAAAAAGTTTTTTGGAAAATTTCAAACCTGTGGAAATGTGGCAAGAGGTGTATACTCTTTACCTAGTTTCTCCAGTTCTTCACACTTTCTACATTTGCTTCATCTCCTACATAAATGTGTAATTACTGTTTTTATTGACCTATTTGAGAGTAAGTTGCAGAATCATAACCCTTTGTCTCTCCAGATTTCAGTGTTTATTTCCTATGAAACAGGCTCATTGTCTTACATGGTCTTTAATGAGATTGACATTTTTGAAGCATGTTTGTCAAATATTTTGTAGACAGTCGCTCAGTTTGGGTCTGTCTGATTGTTTACAGACATTTAGATTCAGGTAAGAATAATACACAAGAGTGTTCTTTTCTTATATTACATTAGGAAGCACATGTTAGTTTTTTCCCATTATTGATGAAATTGAATCTGATCACTTGGTTAAGGTGACAGCTGCAAAGATGACAGCCTTTGTAATTTTCTCTTTGTAATTAGTAACGAGGGCATTTTGTAAGCCTATCAGCACACTTTTGTCTAGTACTTGTAGTATGATTCTTGCCTCAATCAGCTGTTCTGTGTTGGTTATAAAATACTGTATTTCTGATCCTATCATTTTATCCATAAGGAAGGAAGGAGTTTTCTTCTCTTCAAAAATTTTTTTTAGCATCAATTTAGACATGTAAATTATTTTTTCATTTTTAAGCAGTTTTCCTGAAATAGTTTATTTTTCTTACTATGTGTGTGTGTGTTCAGTTGTGTCTGACTCTGCAACCCCATGGACTTTATCCCGCTAGGCTCCTTTGTCCATGGAATTCTCCAGGCAAGAATTCTGGAGTGGGTTGCTATTCTCCCAGTCCAGGGATCAAACCCGGGTGTCCTGCAGTTGTAGGCAGACTTGTTATTGTCTGAACCACTAGGGAAGCCTATGCTCTCTATCACCCTGTCAGATTTTCCAGGCACACATTATACTCGTTTGTTACATTTTTCTCCGTGTCCCATACCTTCTCCACCCCAGGGTTTCTTTTTTTTTCTTTATTTATGATTTTTGGCTGGGCTGGGTCTTTTTTGGTGTGTGGGCTTGTCTCTAAGGCAGGTTGGGGCTACTCCGTAGTTGCGTTGCTCAGGCTTCTCGTGTGGGGCACGGGCTCTCGGGCGTGTGGTTTCACAGTAGTTGCGGCTCCCGGGCTCAGCACAGCCTCAGTAGTTGTGGTGCACAGGCTTAGTCGCTCTGAGGCATGTGGGATCTTACGGGACCAGGGATCGAACCCGTGTCTCCTGCATTGGCAGGAGGATTCTTTACCACTGAGCTACCAGGGAAGCCCTACCCTAGGTTTTCTTGAGATTGAGGATCATATATTCATAGCTGAAATCTGTGCTTGGTACATAATTTCATAAACGCTTGTTTTTAGTGAATGAATATATTCAATCATGGGTTCTTTAAAGATTTAATGTTAGTCATTTTGATGTTCAGAATTTCCTGATACGACCAGAGGGGTGCTCTTTCAAGCTGGTTTCCTAGTCCTTTTGATATGTTAGAGTAATTTTTTGTGCACTTGCTTATTTTTTGACATAGGATAATATATTAGGTTCATTATATTAGGTTCAATATATTAGGTTAATTATGTTTTCCTTAGAGCCATGGTTCTTTTAGTAGATGAAATTTAGATGCAAACATTGACACTAGATTTTCACACTGATACTGGGTTGTCATTGCTTCTAGGTATTTTCAGTGGACTGTGAAATATTTATCCTGGTATGTGTGTGTATATATATGGGGAACATATATACATGAAAATATCTATTATGTATGTTTTTGAATTTTGAGTTCATATTGAAACTTTTAATTCTAATCTAACATATAAGTTATTTGCCTTCCTTTTATTCCATAATTAGGTCTTCTACATGGATGAAATGGGCTCTTACTCAGTATATACTTGACCCTTGAACAATGCGGGGGTTAGGGGGGCCTGCCCTCCTGATGTCAAGAAGCCATGTAAAACATAGTTGGCTCTTCCTGTATGCAGAACCAATCTGTGGTTCCACGTCCAGAATTTAATCAACTGTGCGCCATGTAGTGCTGTAGTAGTTACTGTTGAAAAACCTGTATAAGTGGACTTGCCCAATTGAAACCTGTGTTGTTTAAGGGTATTTTACTCACTTGCTCAGTCCTACAATAAACACCAATTTCAGAGATACTACAGCTTTATCAACATCAAACCTTTTAAAGTAAAGTTCAAAACTTTTTTTGTAATTGTTTCTAAACAGAAGGTACATGGTTCTTTGGATTAGTAACTTGGGTGGCTATCATTTTTGAAGAATCAGTCCTTTATGTTTGTAGATCACTTTATAGAGTTTTTTCCCCCACCCTTGTTGACTCTGTTTTTCTGAGTATGTAAACTATTAAGTTATACCAGAAATGGTGATTTTAAGTGATTCCATCATGAAGGTTAAAGCATGGGTGTGCTTCTCCAAGGCAAGAATTCTGAATCCTCCAATCCCCGATGACTTTCTTTGTTCCAGACTCTTAGTTCTAAAGGTCTGTAAGCCCTGCTTGATTCTATCATTTTAAAAAGCTCGATTTAACCTACATGTGACTATCATCCACTTTTTCTGCCAGTCACCCCACCATTCTGGATAGATAGGTTTATGCCCCTAGAGTTATTTTTCTTGAGCATCTTCCCTCTGTTGGAGAATGGGAATCTCCCACTCTGGTTGGGTTCTGAGTTCTACAACAGTCTTCCCCCACCTCTTACCCATCTCTGTGGCCTCCCACTAAGCCAGAAATCTTGTTCTGAGCTAAGACTCATTCCATGTCCAGATCTTGTTGCATTTTTAGCACTTCTAATGGATAGCACCCTGCTCTTCAAGTGCAGCCCACACAGAAGGTTCTGGTATGTCCCTGTCCTGCCTCTAGCGAGTTTTGAGAATACTGTCTTGCTTCAAGTAGCTCCAATCTGCTCATGCTCAAGGACCTGACTTTCCCATTAGTTCATCTCAACTTGTATTGAGATGATTCTGCTCATAACATGTATTTTTTTAAGCAGCTTATAGTGCATTCCTCACCCTCCTTCCCTTTTTAGACCTAAAACATAGTTTTGTCTTCCAGGCTAGGCGATAAGTTTCTAGTGGGTAGAGATGTTTGGCCAGGGATCCACCAGCAGGAAGATTAAGCTATTGGAGCTGGGAAGGGAGTGGTGGCAGATTCCTGGGTTTTTAGAGGCCTCCCGGCTAAGGAAGAATCATACAGGTTGGCTAGTGCGTGGCTCAATAGCTTGAAGTTGCCTGGCCAGTCCAGTTTCTGGAGTCTGCCAGTCTGGGATTTGGCCCATTTGAAAACCAAGCTGGTGGTGAAGGAGACACGAGGCTGTAAGATCTTGGCAGCTTTGTCCGGTACACCAGCCCCTCTGTGGTTTACAGAGTGGCATTGAGTTCTCATGGGCTGGCGTTTAGGCATGCCTTTCCCAACTGTGGTCTTGTTTAAGAGGAAAATGCTGAATCTTGTCACCAGAGGACTTGAGTCTATTTAGTAGGTAGGTACTTCCCATGTCCCTACTGTCTTTGTGATAATTTGTGTGTCCTTGGGAGTAGAAAGCTATCCTGATCTCTGCAGAGCAAGGCACTTAGGAGGGCAGGGATGGAACCTTACCTGAGTTTGGTCTGCTATGAAGAACCTGAACAGGCACTAAGCCTTTGCTTCCCATGAAGATCCTGCTCCTTGTTTGATTGATTCTTTTCTGAGAGCAGGGCCAACAGTCACAGCCAGGGTAGAATTGCACCTGGGTAAAGCCCTGGTCTAAGCTCATAAGCACAAACCTTCAAGATGAGCTGCTAGAGCCTCACCATCCGTCTTTGGCTGCCCAAGAGTCCCCGCTGCCCATTTATCCCCTGCATTCCTGCTTCTTCTCATAAACATCTCAGGCCATCTAATCTAATGAACACAGCTCGGAGAACATGGTGGGGCCTGTAAACTGTAGGACATGATTTTGTGCAGTGACATCTGGCAGCAGTGTCAAGAAAAACCTTCACTTTGGCAGCCATGTAGAGCACAAGTGGTCTTTAAAGGGCATGATCGTGCATAAGTGCTGGGTCTGTATCTCAGGTGGAGGAAGGTACTAGGCTTCAGACCAGTTGATGATAATCCATGAATGCCTCCTCCAACACTCAGCCCACAAGAGACTTCCTCTTGAATGCCCACTTGGTCTAACCAGTCTTTCCCTCTCTCCAAGGAAATTCAATGGATGAAGGAAAACTGATGAGCTAGTCCTAAAATTCTACTTGCTTAAAAAAGTAAAGCCTCACTGATAGGGTGATTTGCTGTTGTTTTAACAAATTATCCTAAAGAGCAAATTCTCAGTTCTTGGTTAAAAAAAAAAAAAGGAAAGCTTCATCATTCTGTTGAACAGGACGAGAAATCACCTCTTTCAAGCTTTACCTAATAGGAACAATAGGATGACTACCACAAGCCTGATTTTGAATAGTTTATTAAAGGAAAGGTGAAGCATCAGTTTCAAATTGTACAAAAGGAAAAAAACCTCATATTGCAAATGTACAATTTACAGAATTACTAGCAAAACCAATCAAGGAGACACTGAAAATACAAAAATTCGATTGACTTCAAACTAAACTGGAAACCCATTGGAGTAGATACTAAGCCTTTTCTGTCATGTGGTTGTCTACGATTCTACGTCGGCATTGGTTTTTCCACATGAAACTGTCCAGCAAAGGACCAATCTGTGCAGGTGCCAGGGCACTTCCCAGCCTGCTCCCCAGCCAGAGCCACAGGGGCAGGGCTGGTATGGTGGACAGTCCAGTCATCCCTGCCCCTTCACATCCAGTGAAATCCATATTTCTGGAAGAAAGCAATACCCTAGCCCCCCTAAATGGAGCCCAGGAATTGCTAAATTAGCAGATAAAACATTTTTGGTGACCAAGTTTATTTTCAGAACTGTACAAATGTTGAGAAGTTTGTTTACTAAAAGGATGAATAAAATAACCCATTTTGTTTTCCCACATAGTCACTGGCTGCACAGATTTGTTTTTTAAAAAACGCTTTTTTTTTTTTTTTGGTAAAAAGGGAAAGCAAAGCCTCATCATTCTGCTGCAGCTACTTTAAAAACCAGCCGGGAAACAGCTGTGGTGGATTGGTTTGCAAATTCTGAGGCTTACTTTTAAAATCAGAAAGGAAGAAACTAAGTGGGCTTTTAAAAATAATAGTAGCAGCAAGTCATAAAAGTCTAAGCAGTATGTAACTCTATACCATCGAAGGCTGTCCTGAAGATTTGTAATTTCTTTCCCCCAAAGAATTATCCTTAATATGCACATTTAACACTGAAATGTAGCTGTATTTCAAGGTAAGCTTAAGAACTTCACCCTCTAAGCACAGACTTCTATGCAGCACATACTTCTATAATTGGTAAACTTAATTCACAAAATTAGTGCATAAGGGTATTAAGTGCATGGGAAGTAGACATGGTTATGTTACACTTAAAATTACGTTTGAATGGCAAAGGAGTTCATGATTATCTTTTTAAGAAAATGGAAGTCCATGTAACTTGAATTTGGCAGGGCATGAAATAAGTGGTAAAAACAGCAAACTGATAACTTGAGAACCATTTTTGTTTTACTGAGAATACTTTATTTGCTGGTAGAAGTTGCTAAAAATGCACAGAACAAATACCAATAGAAAATGTACTGTATTTGAATCTCCCTATTCTATATAAAATGAATGGTGTACAGCATCTGTTGGAAAAATGGCTGCATGGACATTTCTTATTTTATGCCCCCTTATAAATAAAAATAAACCTTTTTATTCAAGAGTATATAAAATCTGGGAATTCACATCCATGTCCACAGAGGGTGTGTGGATTTTGGCAGAGATGCACTGTCAGAATTTCATCATAGCTTGTCAATATTCTGCTCCTCCATATTCCTGTATTCCACATGGTCAACCAAATCCAGTGAGCTCCAAAAACACTCTTCGGCAATTAGGGTGAGCTGCTTACTCATAGGTTTAATAAAAATGGTTAGCTTTTAAAACATAAAAAGGCAAAATGTTAAAACGGTTTTTAAATTGTACAACAGGAAAATAAAGTTAAAAATATTTTTTTTTACTCAATGCTGAGTTTTCATAAAACAGGTGTATTACAGTGTTTATCTTGACAGCTGTTTTAAAAATTTAAAATTTCTTCCTCCCTCCAGAAAAACACACACATCTGTACTGGGATAAGTCCAATAATAGGACACAAATGATTTTTCAGGTCAGTCTTTCTGAGGTGACATTCACGAACATTCCCTTGGGTAATTTACATGCTCCTCTTCTGTCACTGCAAAAAGGGATCGACCTTAATCATTTGATTAAAAAACAAATCAGATCACATCAAAAGTGTTTTTTTCCCCATACAAGCTATCACAGTATATAGGCCTCTAGCTCTAAATAATAGAGTTCCAGATTTGTAAATTTTCTTCAGACTTCAGAACATAGGCATTCCAAATCCCTAGAAAAAAATGAAACACAATTATTAACTTCATGCATAAACAAGACCCAGAAAACACAAGAAAGAACAGTAATAATTTAACATTTACTGAATCGTCTTCTATGATAGCTGCAGAATCAAAGAAATCTGGCCTCAACTCGGCTCTCTCTCGCCGATTTCTTGACGGGGGCTGGAAAGAGAAACGGATACTTAATTTTTTCCCCGAGATACATGAAGACAAACACTGATAATCAGCTAATATTTCTATGGTATCGTTAATATAAATAACTGTTAAGTGTCACTTTGAAAGGAAAAGAGTCTGACTTACAGGAGCATACATCAAAGAAAAATCTAACTTTGGCTTTTATCACTTAATTTTTTAAAAAATGCTTTCAAATTATAATGAATGTATAAAAGCATGTAATTTGGGGGCCTATAAACAACACAAATTTCAATCATGGAATAATTATAATATTGATCAAACAGTAGGTGACAAAACTTCATTAAATTCCCTACCCAAAGTAGGTAGATGGAGAGCTACTGATGCGTGGGTTGAAGGAGGTTATAGACCGGATATGTCTCATTCATATTTCTTACCAAACCTTTTCATTATGTAAAATTCAAAACACATAAAGCATACTGTTATGAGCTAAATTATGCCCCTCAAATTAATATATTTAACTGCTAACCCCTAGACCACAGGATTTGACTGTATTTGGAGATAGGGTGTTTAAAAAAAGAGGTGAGTAAGGTAGGAGATCATATGAACGTGAACATGAAATTGCTCAGTTGCATCTGACTCTTTGGGACACTGTGGACTGTAGCCTGCCAGTCTCCTCTGTCCATGGGGATTCTCCAGGCAAGAATACTGGAATGGATTGCCATTTCCTTCTCCAGGGGATCTTCCTGACCCAGGGATTGAACCTGGGTCTCCCACATTGCAGGCAGACTCTTCACCCTCTGCATCACAGTCTGCAGCCCACCAGGTGTCTCTGTCCATGGGATTTTCCAGGCAAAGCTACTGGAGTGGTTTGCCATTTCCTTTTCCAGAGGATTAAACCCTGGTCTCTTGCACGGCATGCAGATTCTTTACCAAATGAACTACCAGTGAAGCCCAGAGATCATATGGGTGGGTTCTAATTCAATGTGATCTATGTTCTTATAAGAGGAGACACACAGAGGAAACATCATGTGAAGCCAAAGGAGAAGATGCCCATCTACAAGTCAAGGAGAAAGGTCTCAGAATGAAATCAACGTTGCTGACACCTTGCTCTCAGACTTCTAGCCTCCAGAACTGTGAGAAAATAAATTTGTCAAGCCACCCAGTCAGTGGTGTATTTGTATGGCAGTCTAGCAAATTAATACACAGAGGAAGCAGTATGATGAAGCCCTGTGCACCTATCACCCAGCTTCAACAATTTTCAAACACTTGGCCAATCTTGTTTCATTGAATCGCCTGTTTTTTTTTCCCCTCATGTCATTTCACTTCTGACAACTTCAGTGTGTCTCTTAACAGATCTCTTTTTAAAAGAACATAACCACCATGTATTCTGACAAAGTTAATAATTTCTTAGTATACCTATATTAAATCCATATTCAGATTTCCTTATTTTAAACATGTCTCTCTGTACTGAACAGTAAGGTCCATATTCTGCAATTGATTGCTATGCTATGTAGTCAGACTCCAGTTTAAAGTACGAGAGGCCAGATGCACATGCTGCACTGAAAGACAGATCTAGGAAAGCTATTTTTCATGAATGTAATAAGGAGCCAGTTCCTATTATTGCCAGAATTCAAAATCTGACTTGCTTTGAAAGCAGGTTTAAAAAACACAAGCTCATCCAAATGCCATACCCACTGATGGTCAATGTTACCTCCTCTTGTCCCTCACAGGGTTCTTAAAACAAGAGCATCATCTTACACCAACGCTTTCACATATTTTAACAGAAAAAAATGTATTGAACTTCCTTACGAGGTCAATAACCATGGTGTCTTCAAATTCTTCGTTCATATCTTCTAACTGGCTCCGGGATGACATCATCACATCTTCAAAGATGGGCTCAGCATCTTCCTCCATGAGACCCCGACTGATACGAAAAGATACAGTCAGAAAGCTGTTCAGACTCATAGAACCTGGAATCCTGACTCTTATATTGGGTTTGCGAACCAGTTAAAGCACCTTCCAGTTGCAACCAATAGATTGCACAAATTATGCTATTGAACTCAGGTAATTAAGGATCATTCATTTGGTTCACTCAAGATCTCATCTCAGAAGGAAGTTAAATGCAATAGCCATATTACTAGCTAACTATGTACACAAATTCCCACAGAACTCTAAGTGATTAGTACATTATCCCAAATTTACAAATGAGGAACTGGAGGCACAGAGGTTTTAGAGCTTACCCAAGATCACACAGCTGATAAGGGACAGCACTAGGATTTAAATGCTGAATGCATTCAGAGCCCATGCCCTCCATTCTTATTCTACGCTGCATAGCATATTTGAATTATGATTTTAACTCCTAAGACTAAACTTCAGAGAAACCCAAGTCATGACACAAAATGACCATCATCACACAGTCCTCCTGTTCTTATGGCACTTGACGGAACACTTACACGGCATGCCTTACTCCAGTTCTCACTTTCATGTAGTTCATCCCTGTTCTGTCCTTCCGATTTAAGTCTTCTAATTTCGGCTGGCCTAACCAAGAGATCTGCATCTGAGGACTAAGAGAGGGTAGTGTTATTCATTTTGTGGCAGCACAAGAGGGGTTTAGATAATCAGTCCCATGCTAAGAAGGCACAGTTGGTTGGTCTCATCCCCATGTAAGGGGAGTTTGCTAGATATATTCCAGGGTCAAGGTTGAGATCATCAAAGGACCTGTTTTGGCAGAAATGGTAGTAAGCTGGAGATCCCTAAGTCCCCAAGAGCAGTTGGCTGTGGCAGCTAGTTGTTAGGTGTGAAGGCAATCGGAATATGTCATCCCCAAATATGCCTCTTTGAGACAAATTATTTTGAGCTGAAGGCAATTAAGCAGCAAAATACAAAAAAGTTCTCCTTTTCATCCTAAAAGGGTAGGAAATAAATTATCCTTTTACTGGAGACAGACTCTGATGAGCCCAGAGATGGAACCAGAGGAACCTGCAAACAAACCTCGCTAAACAAATGCTCATTCTTCCTGGTTAAGGAAGACGAGGACTACCTAGCCCTGGTGGGACCACTCCTAGTCCAAACTCATGTGTCTTGTCATTTCTTTACAAATGCATTGTTTCTTTGTCCAAAAGGCTTAAAAGCTTCCTACTCTGGTTACTTCTTCAGGTCTTCCTTCTCTTGTGAAGGCTCCCCTGTACATGTAAAAATTTAATAACATTTGTATACTTTTCCCCTGTTAATCTGTCTTTGTCAGTTTAATTTTTAGACCCAGACAGGGGCTCTACGCGGGTTGAGGAAAACTTTTTCCTCCCCTATTAGGTGCCTAAATTATCAGCTTAATTCCCCAAATCCCTACTAAACAAGAATGCTTCTCAGACTCCCGTATCCAGCTGCTACACTACTTACAGGTGTTCCTAGCTGGACACTCAGTGCCCTAAGGGACAGGAATGATGCTGGCTTGGTGGCTCAGAGCTCTCCAGAGTCGAACAAGGAAGGGTAGACTGCATTTTTTCTCATTCCTTCTGAGGAAGTTTGGAGTCAGGTACATGCTGGGCCAAATCTTCACCTGCACTCTATCCTTCCTGAAACATGGACACTTGCATACATATGCTTCTTGAGAATTTCATAGGATGAAACTTGGATGGGATGACTTTTTAGTTGCTATAATCTGCCACATGAAGTTCTCTCAAAGCAGCTGTCTTTGTATCATGTGAAGCTACCACCTTGATTCAACCTATAAAACTATAGCAGGAAAAAGAAGACAGGCCACAGCCAGGAGGGCCTGACATGGTATAAAGTCAGGAAGGCAAGGCGGGCTGCTCAAATAAAAGACTTCCCCACTGCACAAGGAAGTGAAGTAGGAATGTTGGTCAAAAGGCAAACTCCCCTCTAAGACTGCTCAGTTATGCAGGAGCTGACAATAATTATCCTTTCAGCTTTGAAGACGGCAGATCTTCAGAGAAAAGATTCCTTATGAAAACCCAAGATCTGAATACTTCTAACACTTCTAACCTTCCTCTTTCCAACCTGCTAAGTTTGTCGAGTTCGAGTGAGAATTCTTTTATCCATCAGAATAACACAGAATTACTCTAAATGAATAGAAACACAAGTGGAGCTTAGAGACTCTCAAATTTGAATGGAAAAATAACAAAGAACAAGTTAAGGTTTTCACAGCAAAAGTCATGCCATCACCCTGACTTTTCTGTGATTTGCAGAGCCATGGTACCAGAAAACACTTTAATCTCTGGTGTGGGAAAAGGTAAGAGCTTGATTCTCTTTGACAGAAAGAGCAACTATTCTCAGAATTTATCACCACTTTAGAAGATATTATATATCTTATAATATAAGTTATTTAATCTCTTGGTGGTTTTGTTCTCTCATGAATTGAGAAAAGAATATGCTTGGATGAAATAATTCTTCTGACTTTAACAGTTGAAAGTTTATGCCAAGAGAACCACTTTCTACTACTCACTTGTGTAGGAAGTCGGGCTCGGGGCCGTGTTCAGACTCAGGCTCCTGGAGCTGTTCCCCCACGGGCCGGCTGTTCTCTCTCAGGACGGTGGAAGTGAGCTGCGGTGCGGGCAGGGGGCCGGGAGTCTGAATCATGGTGTCAGTCCTGTTCAGCCACGTATTATCCAGGCTTTCATCTGTAAAATTCCAGTCAGAGTCACACAATGTCAATGGGTGGAATGAACTCTGGTAGAAGTTACAGCACACTTGCAAAGAGCATGGCTCTGGAGTAGACTGCATAGGTTTGAATTCCAGTTATACCACTCACTTGTTGACTTTCTATAAGCTATTAGATTTCCAAAATTCAACCTCCTCATATGCAAAATGGAATATCAGTAACTGCCCTCCCAATTGTAAGGATTAAACGAGGTGATGTATATAATCAGCAAATAAATGTTAGCTATCCTACATTATCATCTCTTTCAAGTCCCTCCACCTCCACAGAGAGGAAGAATGTAGCCAGCCAGAGACCCCTCTAACCTTCCTTTGCTCAAGCAATAAAGGGCCTATTTGTTGGGTCTTACAGGCACCGCAGGCAGTAGCACTGAAAGTCTGGCTTCACTGAGAAATCAGCAAGTCCTATTACACAATTAGGCTCTGGTCACCAGGCAAGTAACTCTCTGCCAAGTTATACTTCTAGGGCTGGATTGAGGATCTGTTTTCACACCTTTAACTTTGACCTCTTTAGGGAAGTCTTCCCTGGACACCCTGCTTGGCCCCCACTTACCATTCTTTTTTAGCTTCTAGAGGAAACAGAATCATTCTTGCTCACTTAGGGCTTAATTTTATATACTGTCCTGGCAGTGATCTGTAATGTGCATTCACTATCTCTGTAATCAGATTTAAGTTTCTTTAAGAGACCAGGAACTATTTTTTCCTTCTTCTAAAGATCATTTATAAAGACTTGAACAGATTAAATCACTATTTATAGCATCATTTGCATATCTAAATTCTAATAAAATACCATGTAATTATAAAGTTCTACCTATAAAATTCTAAATTACAGTTGATCCTTGAACTATATAGTTTGAACTGTTGGGTCCATTTAAACATGGATTTCAAAAAATAAATATGTATTCCAGTGCTATATGCTTCACGGTTGGCTGAATCCACGGATGCAGAATCATGTATATGGCCTGTAAAGTTAGATATGGATTTTCAACCATGTAGGTGGTTGCTCCCCCTCATCCCATTGGTTCAAAGTAAACTGCATTTTCTTGTGTCAGAAGAATTTTAATCACAAGATATATTATGAAGTTTTCCTACCCCATTAAGTCACAGAGACAATGTGCACGTGAGGCTTCTCTTTAGCCATCAAGCATTCTATTGGCCTCAGCTTTTCTAAAATTTTCTCAGATGCATGTATGTTCTAGATAAGCTTTTCTGTTCCTGGAAATATCTATCTACTATCTGGTGAAGGTCATTCCACTGATCTGAAGCTCACTACCAAATCTCTTCTAAGTCAGCCAAGATTACATCTTTTATTCATATCACTTTCATTCAACATTTAATTCAAAACTGTTATTCTCTGCAGAATTTAAAATTTGATGACCACAGGAATGGTTTCACTTAGGTTTTTTAACTTGGTAAACCATCTTTCCTGATCTGCCTCTTGAGAAACCTGTATGCAGGTCAGGAAGCAACAGTTAGAACTGGACATGGAACAACAGACTGGTTCCAGATAGGAAAAGGAGTACATCAAGGCTGTATATTGTCACTCTGCTTATTTAACTTATATGCAGAGTACATCATGAGAAACGTTGGGCTGGAGGAAGCACAAGCTGGAATCAAGATTGCTGTGAGAAATACCAATAACCTCAGATATGCAGATGACACCACCCTTATGGCAGAAAGTGAAGAGGAACTAAATAAAAAGCTTCATGATGAAAATGAAAGAGGAGAGTGAAAAAGTTGGCTTAAAGCTCAACATTCAGAAAACTAAGATCATGGCATCTGGTCCCATCATTTCATGGCAAATAGATGGGGAAACAGTGGAAACAGTGGCAGGGAGACTTTATTTTCTTTGGGCTTCAAAATCACTGCAGATGGTGACTGTAGCCATGAAATTAAAAGACACTCCTTGGAAGAAAAGATTTGAGCAACCTAGATAGCATATTAAAAAGCAGAGACATTACTTTGCCAACAAAGGTC